ACGGCGCCGCCTGATGTCTCCTTCGGTAAACCTTTCAGGGCGCTCTCTAACCAGCGGCAGAACGTCTGCAACACAAGGACACCATCATCAGCACCTAGAGTCACCTGACACCCCCAGCATGCACACAGGTTTGAGATGCCTGACCACGTACTCACCGGCCGGTCGAACACCATGATCTCCCACAGCACCTCGGCGACGTCAGGTAGCGTGTACGGGGGCAGACAGAAGCAGCATGAGTGCATCAGCTGAGTGACGAGCTGCTGGCCGTGCTGCTCCATAGCCTGACCAATCAGACGCTTTCTCACCTCGAAGTCCTCCTCGTGCTGCAGACCCACAGGTGTTAAGGTGAAGCAGACTCCTGTGACATTACTGGCGTTTACAGCACGTTTCCATTAGACTTACATCGTTGGCGACTCCTGTGTGGATGAGGTCTCGGACAAACTTCATCACGCTGCAGTTGGCGTCTCGGTGGTCCAATGAGGTGGCGGCGATGGCGCACTGGATGATGTGAATGATGATGCTGCTGCTGAGCAGTGTGACAGGACTTCGCTGGACAAACCTGAGCAGACGAGGACAGCGGGTGAAAACGGGCAGAGCTACGGAGCATGGCACCATTGGGCTCAAATGGGCGGAGCTTCAGACTCACCTGGTGGCCAGCCTGAAAAGGTCGTCCACAGTGTCAGGGTGATTCCTTAGACCGTTCGGCTGCTCCAACAGCTGGAAGGTCGGCATGCAGAGAGCCTGAGCAGGAGGAAGCCACACCACCATCATCATCACTGACCAGCTCATTGAGCACATAACAGAAAGGTGGAGCCTCAGTGCCCAGGTGTGCTCACCTGTAGCATGTCGAGTAATCCCTGTCTGCAGCCCTCCTCCATACCGTACTCATCCACCAGGATGCTGCCCAGGTACAGGAAGCAGGAGTGTGGATACACCTGATACACACCCACCATCTGACAACAACACACACGTGATTGTTTCATTGGAAACAAAACAACACTGCATCACCAGGGATCACAGATTCTCTCTAAACCAATCCGAATTGCTGACACTTTAGTCACAGCGCCCCCTGGGGTCTGGCAAACTGCTTTGAATCTGTTCACAGATGATTATTTTGTGTGACAATTTTCAACAACACTTGCTTCACTCAAACTTCATTTTATTGATTACTGATTGACTACATCATGGTGCACATACTCAAAGCCGACTGGAAAAGCTCTGATCAGCTGTTCTGGAAGCTCAGAGTTTATTTTTAAACTCAGAGCTTGTTGAACCTGCTTCCTGCTCGCTGTCCGATATGAGGTCTCACCTGTGTGACAAGCGGCTGCAGCAGGGAGGCGGAGCCTTTCCCGACACAGCGCACAGCGAACCTGAGGCAGCGACAGCAGCGCTCCACGATGCGGTTATCAGCCTGGTGAGTGTTCAGAGTCTCCGACAATACGGGCCAGATCTGCAAGTCACATGACCAAAGGTACCTCTATCACATCTATTCAAATCACTCTATTCAAATCAGACTTCCAGGTGAGCGCAGGTGTGTTACCTCCTGGATGACTTTCTGACATGGGTGAGTCTGTCCATTCTCGACGATCGGGTTTGTGTGTCTGCAGAGAAATGATGTGTCCACCGTCAGCTGTTTCATTAAAGTTATACTGGAAGTGAACAAACAGGAGAACTCACCTGAAAATCACAGCCAACCTGTCGAGCCACACCGTCGGATCAGCTGATTTACCGTTCGTGGACTGCTCAGTCAGAAGCTAAAACACAAACAAGTAAACACATAAGTGAAGAAACAAACAAACAAACAAACAATCAAACAAACAAACAAACACACACACACCCCTCTGACCTTCTTCAGAGCAATAACCTGAACAGCACACAGGTCGCTCAGACACTCTGCGATCTTCTCCAGAGGAAGTCGAGCCAGGACCAGAGCCGTACCTGTACAGATAATAGTACACTGATGTGATTACACATGAGCTTGCTGCATCTACACCACTCATGAGGATAAACCTGTGTCAGAGATTTAAACCTTATACCTTCTAAATGTGACCATAGGTATCTGATAAATTCAAGGCAGGTACACTACAAATATATGATGATGTCAGTGCAGGTACCTTTGAGCAGGCCGACGGCAGCCTCTGTGGAAAGGGCAAAGGAGTCTAGTGAGCGAGCAATGTCCAGCAGCCCGTGGAAGTGCTGAGCCATGTGATCTCTGCACACAGAGCAGATGTTGTGGATCGCCTTTGCTGCCGCAGATGCCAGCGGTTTCTCTCGCAGACCTTTCATCAGGTAGTTCAACACAGAGTCTGACAGGAAGTACAAAATATTATTCAGTATGCCCAGACGCACCTGTGAAGCTATGACATCCTGAAAGGCAAGGAAGTTAAAACATGGCTGACTGCATCATCAGGACAGTGCCATTGTTCAGGATCATTCCTCCGTACCAAGGAATCTGGGATTCCTGTCCACGACCTCGCTCATCTCGCCAACCAACTCGATACTCGTGTATCTCACCGCCATGTGAACGCTCTCCGGAAGTAACACAATCTGCTGCAGCACCTCCGTGAGCGTCGGGTTGTTCTCCCTGAAATTCCGACATGGAGAACATGTTTACTTGATGAACGCGTCTGTGAGAACTTCCTGTGGCAGTGACACAGATACTCACGGGTCGACGCTCTTTGCGATGGAAGCCATGATGAAGAGGACGGCTTCTGTGACCTCCCAGGGAGGATTCCCATCTTTCAGCGTGGAGTACAGCTGAGGACGGGAAGTGATGTTAATGAAAGAATAAAGGTGAAACAGATGCCACCTGTCAGCCTGAAACCACCTGAGGATTAG